AATTTCGGTTGTTCAACAATCGAATTTCTGATTTTAAAAACCGAAATGTTGATTTCGATTGTTGGAATTTCGGTTGTTCAAAAACCGAATCTCTGATTCAAAAACCGAAATGTTGATTTCGTTTGTTGAACAACCGAAATTATAGCATTTTCGATTATTCAACAACCAAATTACTGATTGTAAATTTCCCTAGATTTTTACAGTTCAAAATTCGGTTGTTGAACAACCGAAATTTTTAGAATTTTGGTTGTTCTCGGTTGTTGAACAACAAAAATTCTGATTCAAAAACTGAAATGTTGATTTCGGTTGTTGAACAACCGAAATTCTTCTAGAAATTTATGTTGTTCAACAACCAAATTGACTGTAAAAATCCAAGGAGCTTTTGGAATTTACAGTCAGGAATTCGGTTGTTGAACAACCAAAATTAGAGCAAGTTTGATTGTTCAATAGCCAAAAATATTTTTTTTTCATTTTTTAACATTCTAAACAGTATTTATAATGATATTCATAGATCTACTTGAACATTCATTTTTTAACATTTAAAACTATGACATAGACATTGTTAAGTTTTCTTTTATTTGTCATACAACACTTGTTTGTGCTATTTCCTTTCCATCTTAGGAAAGTATTTTGTAGGGTCGTTGTTTGTGCTATTTCCTTTCCACTTTAGGAAAGTATTTTGTAGGGTCGTTGTTTGTGCTATTTCATTTCCATCTTAAGAAAGTATTTTGTTGTGCGCCAAATAAGCTGCAAATTGTTCATATCCTCTTTAGAATGAATAGATTCCTAGCCATAAATACAATAATTTCGGTAGTTCATAAGCATTTTTAAGGCACTCATTTCATTATTCAATACAAGAATGACGCCATCTAAATCACTCATTTCATTAATTCATCAAATTGTTAATTTCATTAAAAAATACAAGATTGACAACAAATAATTCACTCTATCGGCTCTCTGCATGTCCTCGTATTATGACACTCTGTGCCGCATTGTTTGCATTTCATAGGCATGGTGATGGACTGTTCAGTCTCAGATCTTTTTCGTTGCTTTTTTGGTCTACCAGGAAGGTGTGTTGTCCTTGGTGGCAACACTGTACAGTTGAACATACCAGTCAACTCAATATCATTCGGGACAGGCCCAAAGGGAGCTTGAAAGGGCCTTTTAAATGTTTCAACTGTGAATACTGAAGGCAATATGCTGTGGGATCTAAATGCATATGGTTAATAGTTGCAATCGCATAAATACACGGTATGCCACTCAGTTGCCATTTTCTACAACTGCATGTCCAATGAGCTAAATCGACAATGTACTTCTTCCCAAGATAGTGGATCTCAAGCTGTGTATCCATGGTGGATATAACTATATACAAATATCTAGCCTTCATCTTTCACAAGTCCAATTGGTCATCAACTGTACCCTTATTTCTTCACACATTGTAATGGTCGGCTTATCTCGAGCAGACATTTTCCAAGCATTGAATGACTCTGCTAAGCTAGAGGTAAGATGATTGTATCTTGTCGCATCTGCCTAATATTTGAGAGGGATATTCTTGATCCACTCATATGCATCTAGGTTGGCACACTGTATGTCAAACATAATTTTTTCAAACCCACTAATAATTGCTTTACGAACAGCCTTCCAAAATAACATCAGCAATACTTTAGTGTTTACTGATTTCTTCATGAAGCCCTTGAAGTTCTCTCCCATATGTCGCCCGCAGAATGTTGGAAAATACATGGGAAAGCATTTTTTTATTGCTCTTGACAGGGTTTTCTGTCGATCTGATATAATTGTTAAGGCAGACAAATTAAAAAACTCATATAATTGCTTACTCAGTATACTAAAAAATTAATCACAACTCTGATAGTTCTCCTTCTCGACCACTGCAAATGCCAATGCAAAGATGTCATTATTTGCATCTATAAAAATGACGCACAATAATATGCCTCGATATTTTCTTTTTAATAATGTCCCATCAATACCAATTAGTAGCCTGCATCTATTAACAAAACCCATGATGCATGGATGATAAGCAATGAATAATCGTTTGAACCTGCCTTCATTTGTGTCGATGCGAGCTACGGTTCCTGGGTTAGTTATTCGTAGCTTCTCCGTATATAAGGGGAGGTCATGATATTGTTGTTCATGTGATCCATCTATCATCTCTCTAGCAACCTTTTTTCCCTGCCAATCTTGCATGTAGGAAAGCCTGACATTGTGATCGCGTTGAACATCATTTACAATGTCTTTAGCTTTAATTTTTGGTTGGTCAATAAGAGGAGCTTTAATTTTTTTGGCCACCCAATTACTACGAGCTAGTGGCTGATGGACCTTCCCCATTGGACCACTACATGTGTGCTCCTTAACCATAGATTTAACTTTGAAGTAAGCCGTAGTGCCAAGTTGTAAGCATCGCACTTGCCACGTACATCCCTCGGCCTTACAACTTGCCCCTACCCGACCCAATTCTTCAGAACAAAATTATTGTAAATTGCAAACTTTATAAGATGATGTCGGCATTCATTGGCACTTTCAAAATATTGTCATATATACAATTGAACCTCATTACTAACTCCTCTACATGGTCTCCTTAGTGGTTCAATATCCTTCATGTCATGCGCCAGTTGAATGTTTTGATCTTGATCAGGTAAATTGTCACGCCGACTGTTGACAAAAGATATAGTGTAAGATGAAACAACAATAAAATTTCTATACATAAAATAATAAATTAAAGCAAATTACAAATGAAAAATTAAATTATAGATATACCTTCACCAATAGATTCCCATTTTGGCTTCATTGTAGATGCATTATATACAACAATTTTCGAAGATTCCCCTCCCAACATAAAAGATACATCTATATCATCACTTACATCAATCAAATCAGGCCCATTAGGAAGACTTGTGTTGTGGTACATAATAGTTAATTTGTTTGGATCACACATTATTAAATTACTAAAATGACTTTTTATTTCCTCCAAAGAACTATTTTCATTATACTTCATAACCTTAAATTTCCCCCCTTTGTAAATGGTACAACCATCATCTGCATTCGTCTCAAATGACCCCCCATATTGGAATACCGATTGCGCTCCCTCAGTAACCATAGTCAATGCTATTGTATTAAATGAATAGCAAAATTTGTGTCATAATAAATTGATACAATAAAGAATATAAAAATTTTGGATATTTCTAACTACTTTAGGGTTACAAAAAAGTGAGTATTACATAACAAATTCAAATAGTGTACTACTATAAAAGGACAAATAGTTAATAAACAACAAAAATAACAAATATGCAAACAAACTCCAAATAAACAACAAATATTAACACAAACAAACAAGTTCAACAATATTTACCCAATACAATATCAACACAAAACAAACAATACATATTTATACAAGCAACAAATAATTATACAAATGAACACGTTCAACAATATTTTAACAAATATTACTTATTACTCAACAATACATAAAAATTACAAATATAAAATATGATATTCTATTATACTCATTGTGACAAAACTAACAAAAAAAATAAAAAACATAAGGTAAGAGTAAGTAATGTACCAATCACGATCGCGGGCCAATCTCGTGGGATACTGTATTGGGAGAAAGTAAAAAAGATATGGATCCACGTATGATACTATATTTCCCGTTTTCCCCCAACTTTATACCATAAAAAACTTTTCTTATAGTAAAAGCGAACAAAGTATTGGCGCGAACATTTTCGGTTAATCAAAAGTCGAAGTCCATAAAATTTCGGTTGTTAAAAAATCGAAATCATGTTTTCGGTTTTTGAACAACCGAAAATATAATTTCGGTTGTGAAAACAATGCACTCCACGGTCTCAGATTTTGAGCTACCGAAATTAGGTTTTCAGTTGTTGAAAAACCAAAATTAGATTTTCGGTTTTTCAACACCCGAAAACCCTAATTTCGGTTGTTGAACAACCGTAACTAGAGCGGGACCTATTCCCGTTTTTGGATGTCGAAAACCGAAATTTTTTTGATTTCGATTTTTCAACACCCGAAAATGGTTAAAATCTTCTTTTTTAAAAAATCTCGTTATGAAAGTGGAAAAACGGATATGGCGGTAATAACGGAAACTGAAAGATGAATATGTAATAACGCATAATATAACGGATATATACATAGTTTTCCCTAAGTGTTATGTTGTAGGGGATGCATAGAAAGCTTGCCCTTAGGTTTAAGGATGAGTGTATGTACTATGCATCCATGGGAGCATTTTGTACACTTACTCCCTCTAATAGAAAACTAACTTGCCAATAGATTGTGTTTTGTTTGTTAGAGTGAAATGGGAAAATTGCATCTTATGATAAAATTTAGATGCATGCCTTATTTTGATTGTTTAACGTTTCAACATGATGCAAACCATATTCCCTTTTAAGTTGTGGGTGTGGTTTCTATTAGTTTGAGGCCGTAAACAACCAAAGTAAGGCCCACCTCTAAATGGTGCAAAAGATGATTTTTTAGTAACGAAAATCTTTGTGAAGGTTTAAAAATAATGTAGATAAGGAAGATATATAAAAAAAATTTAAAATATTGAAGCTTTAAAAATAATGCAGGTAAGGAAGATATATAAATTTTTTAAAATATTGAAAATTGTCGACGCTGATAAAAACTTACAAGATGCATTATTTTCGATACTTGATATTTTTTTTTCCACATCTATACATCTCAAGGTCGAGGTGATTGATTTGAGGGTTTTCGACATCAGTACAACCTCTTCTAATAAAATTTTATGGTGCACCTTAATTGGATTATTTAAGGCCTCAAACCTTTTATAAACTTTTTCCTTTACATCCAAAAAGCATTCCGAGCTAGCTCTTTCGATGGATGAAGTAATTATACAGCATGCTACGGCGGGAGCATGCTATCCATATTTACCATTATTCTGGCGTGGACGTGATCTGCATTTCTCCATTTCATAAGGACAGTTCTTATTGCCCTATCTCTCTCTCTCTCTCTCTCTCTCTTTCCCTCCTTGGTCATGGTTATACAGCGCTGGCTGCTAAACGGTTTGAATACAGCGTCAAATACACCTAAAAAGGGCCTGCAAAACTCTTGGGAGTGTTATAGAGAGAGGAGAGGAGCTCTGTTTTTTTCTCTAGCCTTTTTTGGTTTTTGGTCGATTTATTGCCGGAATCTGTGCATTTTGCGGTGAAGAAATGGTGAGAGCTTTGGTGAGGGGTTTGATCTCTAAATCCCTTTCGGTCGCCGGAAAATGGCAGCAACAACAGCTTCGGCGTCTCAATATCCATGAATACCAGGTTCTCTGTCTCTTCCCTCTCTCTCTCTATAACTCTGTTCCTCTCTCTTGCCTCTCTCTCTCTCTCGCTCTCTATCTCTATTGCTCCCTCTCTCTAAATTGTGTTCTGAAAATCTCTCTCTCTTTCTCTCTATGTCTATTGCCCTTTTCATTATTGCCCTTTCTATGGCCTTCTACTGCTTTTTTCGAGCCGATGCTGTATTTTCTCTTTCTGTAGAATTTTGTCTTTGTTGTTTTCAGTGCAAAGGATAACTGGCTTTTGTTTACTTTGATCCTTTTCTCATTTTTCTAATGCTTTCATAGAGGTGCCATTCTCTCTCTCTCTCTCTCTCTCTCTCTTTCTCTCTCTCTTTCTTGTTGGTTTCATGACTAACATAACAAGCTGTTGGTTTTTTACTTTGTATTATTTTGGATGGATAGTTTCCTCGTCTGTGTCTCTGTATTTTTTGGTCTCAATTGCGATCTGAATTCAACGAGAATACACTTTGTATAAGTTTCCAATACGTGTTAAATGCATGGAAGACTGCAATTCTTCTTATTTCTAGCAAATCATTTGTTTAGTTCATCTTTCTGTTTGGCTTAACTGGCGTTGGATCTGTTCATTCTTTCCAGTGAGGAATGGCGATAGATGCACTTAAATTACAGTGCTTTGATAATTGTTCTTGTGAACTTTGCAAATAGGGTTCTGATCTGATGGCCAAATATGGTATAAATGTGCCGAAAGGAGTTGCCGCTGGCTCAGTTGAGGAGATCCAAAAGGCCATTAAAGATGTTTTCCCTCAAGAGAAGGAGGTAAGAGCTTGCCAATGTTGATTTTTTTTATTTAGAGTTATTTTCATCGGATGAAATCAGTTCTTAATTGTTGGCAATGGTTCTTAGTACCATACTTTGTGAGTTCCTGCAATAGAAAAGATTGTCCATTCTTCCCCTGATTACAAGCCATGGGGGGCCTCATTTTATAATATATGATTATTGCACTTTCACTTAATTGCGGGCTCATACAGACCTTTTGTGAGCTTGCAATGCTTTATACCATATGATACTAACTGAGTACGCTGTGTTGAGATGTACAAATGTTGTTATTTCAGTGACACACTTTTGTCCTTGTTTTCTATAATTCTTTGACTATCATTCTATGAGGTTAGAACTGCTTTCGTAAGTTTTATGCCCCAGAGTACAGATAAGTTGATCCTGAATGTGGATACTAGAGTCTAATGTAATATATACTCAATTTTGTAGATGCACATACACTTGTACATTCAATTTTGAGGTAGTGAAGACTGTTAGTTTTCAAAAATAAAAAAGAAAAGATGAGTTGATTCCTGTAATGACCTTGACTTTTCCTTAATTTGGTTAGTTGGTTGTTAAAAGTCAAATTCTTGCTGGTGGACGAGGTTTGGGAACCTTCAAAAGCGGGCTTAAAGGGGGAGTTCACATTGTGAAAGTTGACGAAATTGAAGGCATCGCTGGTACTATATCCTTGCTTGGCTTTTGCTCTGAGTTCTTAAGGTTCTGTTTTACTTTGAAGTAGTGTTCGTAAAATTGAACTGGAACGGTTAACCGGACATGGATCCGGAAGCGATTTAACTGGCCTAACCGGTAAACCGGCCGATTCAACTGCTCTAACCGGGCAAGTCTCGTACGATAAAAAAAGTGTTAAAAAAATAAAAAAGATATAAAAAAAAATCTATTAAAATATGAAAAGCATATAAAGAATTTGATTAAAACAAAACACACTCAAATGAAGTTGAAAATTAATGAAAAAAATGGATTTTAACGAATTAATTTGTGTCTAGAAGTATTTTTAAAATTTTCTGAAAAATATAAAAGTATCATTGACCAATTTTTTTTTATTTCTTTACCATAATGTAAAGAATATTAACTTAGTGTTAAAAAAATCGACTTGACCAACTCTTTTTTTTAAAAGAAAATGAAGAAAAACTTAAGTTATATATAATTTAGGCCCTTCTTTTTGTCAAATAAGTAGTAAATGGTGTATTGGTTAGTGGGTCTAATAATAAAGGACTTGTTTCAAGTTCGATTCCCTTGGGTAGTAAATTTTTTAAATCAACGACGAAATGAATTCGATTCTTAAAAGAAAAAACGCAAAAACGCAGGGATTCGAACCATGATTCACATGCAACTTAACCGTCAAAGCTAACCAATAAAACATTCTAATATATCTGATATAAATTTGAAGTAGTATTATATGTAAAGTTTAACATATCGGTTGATCACCAAAACCGCCCAAAACCGGATCCGGCCGGTTCCGATCTAACTGGGCAGTTACCGATTAGATCGGCCGGTTTTGTGAACACTGCTTTGAAGTTTGCTTGTGAGGAAGTTGGAATGCATATTTTATAAATTGTAATTGGACTCCATTCTGTGTAGTGCTTTGGTGGTTGTCGCCCTTTACTTGTGGGGATGCTTCAGTCCTACTTAATATCTAATTTATTAGATGTAGTATTTCTCATTTTGGTCTTATTTCTCATTTTCATCTCTGTGGCATGTGTGCAGTTAACCTCATATAGAGTATTTAACCTGTATTTCGGTGAATTGGCTTTGGAGATTTTTTGATGAAGGTTAACTTAATTGGCTTTGACATTTTAATCTCTAGATTTCTTAATATTTACACTCAATTTTTTTGCATTTTAGTTAAAAATGGTCTTGTATGGTGTTTGGGTGACAATCCAGGTTCTTTGATTCTTTCAAATTCTCATTTTGAACTTTAAGTTTTTAGGTGTGCTTCATGTGATGTGTTGACTTGATACCATCTGAGAGGTAGGTTGAACTGGACTTTGTAAGTGTTTATGATAGAAAATGCTTCAATGGGCCTTTGGCATATTAAGCAAAGTTTTTTAAACTTTTAGTGGTTCCTTACTCTTGATTAGATTGATTTGTTGACAGATTGGCTAGAAAACTATATAAAGGAATGTTTATGGGCCATATACTCTGGAAATCATTTGAACTACTTCAACGATGTTGGTCAACTCTGTTACTTGATGTTGATCAGAAATGATTGTTGGTCTGAGAGCCATTGACGTTGTCATATATAATGTTATATTATTATCATGGAGGAGCATGTGTACTTGTTTTTGAAACCTTAATGTTTTATGGATGCAATTCCTGACCCCTCATCTCCAATCCTATGGTTCTTATGCTATTGTTTCTATGATTCCGTTTTCTTGTGCTTGCCTACTTTTTAATGTTGGTCCTTTTTGGAATCCTTTCACTATCTTCAACGGTTCTCTGCTTCCATATCCAATTCCTCTGTAGCTGTCCTTTTTATTTTTGATGAGTATAGTTCTATCCTTAAAACCTTCCCAATATATTTTTCTTCTTTCGTTTATTTGGTACTGGAATGAAGTGTAAAGATGAACTTGTCAAATTTCAACATGTTGGAGTTTCATGCACATTCAGGTCTAGTAAATATCTCTATTGATACTTCCATGGCACATTGCTAGGCCTTTTTATTTCTATTCTTTTTATGCCATGACTTTAGAAACTTTCGCCTCTCCCAATTGGGGTGCCTGCCAGAGTGTGGTCTGTGAACCTTGCAGTTGCAGATATATATCGTATTCATGAAAATTGGAGCAATCACTTTTAGATGATGGTGTCTCGACATAGGCCATATGATCTATAAGTATTATAATGGAATTCAAGTAAGAGTATAACATGATTGAATGGAAGGTCAGCTTGCTGCCATTACTTTTTATTTTGAAGTGTAACATATAGCTTGAGAGAAGTTATCTTCGGCAAATGCAGAACAAATCTCTAAATAGTTCTACATACTCTCGATGAAATTATTGGTGGGTTGCATGCCACTACGCAATATGTGATGATATCTGAATTTTATTTTCTTCATATCAAATATATACATACATATAAACAAACAGGCACACACATACACACTTGCATTCGTAGATGTCTCTGGTATTTTCCTATATATATATATATATAGTAATGATCCTATAGGACCCTTTCCCACCCATGTTTGTAGGACCCCAAAAGATCACCATTAAAGTTGGCACGGATCTCTGGAAAAGCTATCACATGGTTGTAGGACTTGACTTTTCTATAGATCCGTGCCAAATTTAATGGTGATCCTTTGGGGTCCTACACACATGGGTGGGAGAGGGTCCTATAGGATCATTTCTCATATATATATATATTGGAAAATGCAGAGATTAGCCCACTAGCTCATCTCTACGTATGAGCCCAATGGCCCAGATTGAATTTGCGCCGATCTGATGGTCACGACCTCATTTTATATTTAAATTAATGTTTTTCTTAGAAATCCAAATTACTTGAAATTTTAGGCGTCCATTCTTCTTATTAAGGCGCACCTAATAAAAATATTTAATAAATAATTCACTAATTTTTTTGACCAAATTACCCCCAAAGTATTTTAGGGGTATTTTGGCCAATTTATTTCTTGTAAATTATTTATTTGATATTTTTATTAGATTCTCTTATTTTTAAAGAATACACGACTAAAATTTCAAGTGATTTGGATTTGTAGAAAAAAATATTAAAATTCAAATACGAAATGAGGTCGTGACTGTTAGATCTGCCCAAAGTCAATTTGTGCCGTTGGGTTCATATGTAGATATGAGCTAGTGGGCTAACCTCACACACACACACACGCACGCACGCACGCACATATTTTATCAAGGAATACCTAATAAAAATGTTTAAAAAATAATTCCTATAAAATAAATTGACCAAAATATCCCTGGAACTTTTCAAGGGGTATTTTGGTCAATTTATTTTTTGTGAATTATTTTTTTGATATTTTTATTAAATTTCAATATTTTTTAAGAATAAACGCTCCAAATTTCAAGTGATTTGGATTTATAAAAAAAAATTAAAATTCAGCCTAAATTCAATCTAGGCCGTTGGGCTTATACTATTCCATCAGCTAGTGGGCTGACCCTAGCATTTTCCTATATATATATATATATATACTATTCCATCAGCTAGTGGGCTGACCCTAGCATTTTCCTATATATATATATATATATATGTGTATGTATGTATGTATGTATGTATGTATGTATGGATGGATGGATGTATGTATTATAGTTTATTCTGATAGAAGTTTGTTAACATGCATATTTGATGGCTTAACATTAAAAAAAATTAAGGAGGATTAATTATGCAGTTGGGACTCTTCCAATTCTTGGTCTCCATATTGTTTTCAGGGAAAATGCTCGGCCAAATATTAGTTACAAAGCAAACTGGGCCACAAGGAAAAATCGTGAGCAAGGTTAGTCAGTCTCTGAACTAGGCTTTTGATTGTCCATGTCTTACCATTGAAGTGCTAATGATTCATTTGTACTTTTGTGGCCCTCAATTCTTTTATTGTTTTTTATGCTTTTTTTTTTTGTGTGTAAATATATGTTTATCTATGACATAAACATTGCATTCCCTATGGATGATTGGCCTATGGTACTGTCTGGGAGTATGGTTATGTCAATTACTCACAAGCCTTTCTTAATATACTGAGTGATAAATAATTTGACTGGTTTACGACATATGGCTTGGAGTTTGGAGACACTTTGAAAGGACATTGTTTTGATTGTCAAAAAGAGAGAGAACAGAATATTTAATGTAATATGGTGAGTTGTTCCTTACCTAAGAGGTTAGGAGGCCATTGGGTCTTGGGGACTAAGTGGTGAGGTGGTAATACCTAAAGAGGTCTATACTCTAGAGGACTCTTACAGCGGAGAACAGGCAATCAGGAATGTTTAGGATGGTGTCTCTGTGCTTCAGTGACATGCTCAATGTTCTCTATTACATTAGGGATGCACATTTTGGGCGTTAGTGTGTTTTGGTGGTTGTGGGTGAGGTGCGGGGGACTGGATGGTCAAAGAGGACATCCATGGTAGGAGATCTTTTCATGGTTTGGATCCTTATTTTGTGATTGTCCTCCTTCACTGTAGTAAAACATAATCTCTTGGTTTCTTAAGAGGGGTATAAATCATAGAGAGGAGAGGAGTAATGGCTAGTTGATCTGTTGAAAGCATGTTGTACTCATGGGTAAGTACCTCATTGATCACTATTGCTGTATCAGAAAGAGGGTTTGTATAAGGATATTGTAATCATTTAATGCCTTTAATGGATTATCGTAATTTGTCATTGGTATAACCCTGATGACCCCTTAACCTGCCTATTTTCCATATTCACAAAAACGTGAAAGTTTGGCTAGTTAGCATGACATTACTGATGACACAGAAATATTCTGGCTGCATGTCTCAGGAAGTTTGAAACATTCAGTATTCTACTTTCTGTGCAGTCGGTGGTCTGGTATTCTTCTTAACCTGCCTCGAAAAGCTCTAAAGAATCTACTCACTAAGAATAAGGAATTTTAGATGGCATTGCCTTCTTGAAACACCTAGACTTTTGCCATAGTGGCATACCTGAGTCCCTTCCCCCTTTTTAACTGCATTTTGAGCAGGCATATTCATGAAAAATGCAGAAGACTCAAGGCACTAAATTACCAGCCCAGATCTTGGCAACTAAATATACTAAATGCAATAACAAACAATGTAAACGGGTTAGTGAATTATGCTTCCTGATCTGGCATAAATTTGCTCATTCTTGTAGAATTTGTTCTCCATCGGGGGACTGCCACCGAATGATTACATGTTGCATATGGAAATTGTGATGTTATCTTTGAGGATTTAAACTTATGAACCAAATTTATACACAGTAATTTGGTTCTTTCCCTTGTTGAGATTGATTGCCCTTTGATGCCCTTGTCATTGCAATGACATTTTTCTACATCCAGACTATAACCTCATGTACATACAGATTTATGGGGGTGTATGCATCTAATTTGAAGTTCCAGCACATGTATACATGCACATACACTTTAAACACCATGCTTTTGTGCATTGTTGTTATGAATGCAATATATTTTATATGTACTGAACACTATGTCCATTTGTAAGTGCTCCAAGTGCCTGCAGGGTTTTGTACATAAATAGCTGCATACCTTCTCCCGGAAATTCCTTTCCATTTGCACTAATAACGTGAAGTTTGTGACATTCATCAAAGCTTGTGTGTGTATTTGTTTCATAAACCATACATGATGTGTTTTGTATTATATTTCACCTCTTAACACTTTCTTTGCAATTACTTAAGTGCATTTTACCTTTACTGTGCATATGAGGTAATTCATTCTGTGTTCTTTTGGATATGCTGTTTGTCTTTCTCTTACCTTGTTTAGGTTTCCTTGAGTTCAGTTTTTACATGTTCTGTGGTATGTTTATTCATTTATTCTTGTCAAGCAGTTACTTTTTACATACAGTATTATTTACCATGTGACCTGCGTTTTGTATTGTTTTAGGTCTACTTATGTGAGAAGTTATCACTTGTCAATGAAATGTATTTCGCTATAACTCTTGACCGTACAACAGCTGGGCCGGTTCGTACCTGATTCTCATTAATGCCATATTCCACTGTCAATGGGTGATTTACTAATGTTGCAGCTATGAGCACTATATAGATTTTTCATTTTTTTTCTGCATTCACATGTGCTTGCTATCTCCTTCCTTAATTAGATGAATTTTCTCTGTAAAATTGGAAAATCACTTAATACCATTTATTTTCATTGTAAGTGCAGCCAGGCCATATTATTTAGAGTCATCTGTCAGACTGCCTTTTGAACAGTTACATATGTTTTTTATATTTCTCTTTTTTTTTGGGTGAATATTACACTTCTCTTAGAATAATGTACTACTTATTACAGGATGTGTAGAGCAAGGCATGCTAGCTGGTTTGCATATCAGACTGCCTTTGAGCAGTAATATATGTTTATTACACTTTTCTCTCAGAATAATGCTCTCTTTTTTTTTGTCTTTTTGTTCCGTTTTTTTTTGGGGGGGTTAGCAGTGGGTTTGGAGCATAGTTGTGGGAAATGCTTGGGAACCTGAATCGTTTTAGGAACCGGAATCGCAGAATCGCAGCCGGCTAGATGATTTTTGTCGAATCGTTATCCGTACAATAGGAATCGCTAGGAACGAGATTGCTAGTTTTTGAGAATCGTGTTTAGATTGAAATAGATCCAAGTTTCATCCACTTATGGAAATGAGATTCTATCATCATTGGAATCGGGATTCCCATCCCCTTGGAATCGACACTTCAGGAGTAAAGATTCTTTAATATGCGGAATCGAGTTTCCGACATCTATGGAATCAAGGTTTTGACATATGTGGAATATAAATGTTGCTGTTTCGAATTACGATTGTAACATATTTGGAATCAAGTTTTTAAAGTATATAAATCATAGATCCATGCCAGTTTGAGATCAAGATTTACAATAATATGGATTATAGAATGCGTTTGACGACCCTTAACAGGAATCAAGATTTCATTTTTATGGAGAAAGAAGCCACTAGCACATCTTGAGCCTCGTCAACTTTAGAACCTATATTGGATGTCTTTTATCAGAAGGTTTCTCAAGTTTCCCAAATTTTAAAATGATTGAATTGACTGTTGAATTTATGGTCATTATATACAAAAAAAGTATTCCTAAATTGTGATTTTGACTTCATTATTATAAAGGCAAAATAGGATTGACTATGCCATAGTTTTAGTTTTAATTATATATGTTGTAGTTACCAATTATATTGTAAATTTAAAGTAAAGGCCATCTAGGGTGGCACATAATGAAACTTTGCAACCACCAAAAGCATTCGAAGGAAGATTTCTACTCCAATTGGCATGGAATCTTGATTTAATCCTCGCTAGAATCCAGATTCGATATATTTGGGAATGTCTACCCACAATTAATGGGTTCAAGTTTTCAAAGATGTGTAGGATCGAGATTCCGAAATTAAGAAATCGAGTTTCCTTGGTACTGATAAATTGTTTCCAAATATATCGAGATTCCGAAATTAAGGAACCGAGTTTCCTTGGTTTTGAAAAAAGGTTTTTGAAGATGTGTTGAATTGAGATTCCAAAATTAAGGAATCGAGTTTCTTTGGTTTCGAAAAATGGTTTCCGTGGAGATTCCTTAATGGAAACGCGGAATCAGGTTTCGGAACCGGAAATGCGAGGTCATTGGAGAGATTCCGGTAACTATGGTTTGGAGTGCTGGATGTGATACTGCCCTTATGACCACCCTAACCCAACCTAACCCTTCAAGCCTGGTGCCCAAACCCGATTAATTGTGGCTAATAATTTATTGTTGATGAACCAGTTATTGAACCGTGGTTATAAATCTCAGATGAATTGGCGTGCCATCACTGAATGAACGCCAAGGTTCAAGTTAAACTTGACCTTGAGTGAGCTAGGGAATATGTAAGAATGAAAATTAATACAATAGGGGGTTTCCAGCACAATTGCTGGTGTAGCAAAAAAAAAAAAAGAACTGAATGAACCATAGAACATTTCTCTGTAGATTATTAAGCTATTATACATCTTCAGCAATACTATGTGATTTCTATAGTACAACTGCCTGTATGGAGGTTTGTTTTGAACTGGACAAACACTTGAGATTTGTGTTGAGGTGCTATTATATGGTTATTGGAGAAAGGATAAGACTGGGGGTGTTGGATATTGGTCAGATAATGGTGTCTTGAGGTGTTTACAACTGAGTTTGATGCCTCATTGTTGTTGTGTGCATATTAATCATAACCCTGTGACAAGTCATTCAGTGCATGAGTGCATCTATCATCCTGGCATTTGTCTTCAACTTATATTTGTAAACACACACAAAAAGTATTCTTAACTTATAGACCTACCAACAATATTCTCTGGGGCTTTCTGCCCCAGATTCTGATGTCAAAGGGCATCTACTCCCATTCCATGGCGATGCACCAAACTGAATCTCAAGAAACAACCTGAAGTTAAAGACTTATCATGGAGAAATTAATGAGTGACAGGGAATCTCTCAAAAGGGAAGAAGCCAACTTGCAAGAGAAAAACACATCTATCTCACCAGATGATACCTATGAGGTGAGAGGTGCTGGGGCTAATGTGGTTGTAGAACAATGCTAATAATGCAGCAGGGCAAGTTGCAAGGTATACCATCTCAATCCTCATAATGTGATGGACTGAGAAGATGATGCCATTAGAGTCATAATCCTGGAAGGAGCGAAAAATGAGTTGGGAGGGCCCTACATGGGCGCTGCAGTTTCTGCTTAAATAGATGGGGCAGTAGGATAAAAATAAAAGCGTGACAGCGACATCTAGATTTATAAGTTGTTATGGGGTTGCTGCTGTATCCAAGAATTACATTCCAAAGCCTGAACTGCTCTGGGCTGGAAGTTGTCTTCCTGCATACAACAAAAGCACCCAAACTTGTGAAAATTTCTATATTAAGAAGCTCACACATATAACTGACAATGAGATTATTAAAAAAAAGAAGAAAAGGACAGAGAAAGCTACCTTGCAGAGTTTGTGAGGGACCTAGTTGATAATATACTTCCGCTGCTTTTAGAGCCCCTCCTTCCATAGAAATTTAGGTATCTTAACATGCAAACATTGTAGGTAGAGCTAATTCGATTATATATGGAAGCTTTCACTCAACCACTAAATGATGCAAATGAATGCCATGTTGTTAAAGGTGGCCTGAGTTGACTCGATTTTCTGAAGTTTAAGTAGACAGAATGGAGTCCCAAGGGGAATAAGACTGGGTTGAGTTAGTCAAACTTGACTTGCCCAAATTTTCTTCTTGACCTTTCAAGTTGGTCTTCTTTCTTGAGCATTTACAATTTTTTTTTCTTTTCAGTGTCATACCTTGAAAAAGTGAATTTAAAGCCCTATATGACCATAGTGTTGTTTTCTTTGTTGGGTTGGGACTGTTGGGCTGGGTTGGGTTATGGCTTTTATGTTGCCCATTCTTTTTTATAATTTTATGCGGAGTCCTCTTTAGTCCCTTTTTCCTTTGAGCAATATCATGAAATAACTTAGTTACATAAAATTTGCAATGTAGTATGTGATTGTAAGTTGTATGGTGTATAGTTCGTTTAAGATTATAGAAAAATAACATTTTTTTTTCCAGGTAGGTCAATGGGGATGGGATACCTTACCCATGGTAGGAATGGAACTCAAGACATCATGTTGTGGCTCCCCGCCACCCTGACCACCTAGCCTTGATCCTCCATTCCTATAAAATGATGTTTAGTTTGCTATAGAGTGTTGTTTATACGTCCTTGAAAAAATAGCTTGATAGAAATAATTATATATCATATGATTATATTTCTTATGATTTTTTGTATTTATATAAATAAAAAAAGCAGTACCTTTCTCTTCTTGCATTAAGAAGGCTCTTCTTAGTTTAAGTTTAGAATTGATACTTACTAGGAGCAATACTTTTCAGGAAAATCGTAGCAAAGAGTAAATCCATAGACTCATTTTAGACTTTTAGAATTGATTGCATCATAATCATATCATTTTTTTAAGGGGAAATTTATCAACTACATCTAGGAGATTCACTACCAACTACTTTTAAAAAGTTTATCAAGATAAACATCAAATGCACATTGAAAAGTGGTTAGATTGTTGATGGGTGATTTTTATGCTACTCAATGAGATCAAATTGGTTTCTAGGAAAGCTACTAATGAAAGGTGTTGGTAAATTTGGATGCCATAAATTATGTCGCATACGCTGTGGTGTTTGGATCTTGGTCTATCTAAGAAGGGTGAGGGCCTTAAAACTTTCCCTTAACTCGTCTGAAGCCTCGTTAAACGAAGTGGGTTGTGTTAAGTAGGCAGCTTTGCCAAAACTTTTCATGAATCCTGAACCCACATTATCTGCTTATGCTAAGGCATTCCCCGTACCTCACTGAGGGTATGACCCTTAATAGAGCAAAATGGCGAATCAGGATTCATGTAGCCGACCCCAAATAGTTTGGAAAGTCTTTGATGATGATGCTGATGGTTTTTATGTAGAATAATAAGTGATATAGTCCGAAAGGAATGTGCTGCAGGCAAAGGTTGTCAGCTTGGCAGGGTGCCTCAATGTGACATCATGAGTTCCATTCCGACCATGCCCCAAGTTAACATTCAGCGTGTGTGTGTGTGTGTATTTTGTGTTTGTGTTTAGGCTACTCCCTCTTATGGGGCTTCTCTCTCTGTGTCTGTGTATGAATGTACCTCTATATATATATATATATATATATATATATTATACACTATTATGATCGACTACACGAATGGCAGAAAAATATTCATGTAGCCAACCCCAAGTAGTTGGGATGAGGCTCTGATGATGATGATTGTGATAATACTGTCAGAATTGCATTGACATCAACGGAAACATAGGAAACAATAGATTTTTATTTAAAAATTATGTATATTATGCAAACAATAGAAAATTGAACATTTCGATATTCTCGTCATCTTCTTTGGATTTTTTAGCAAGCATTGAGTGAGAACCTTGTGTCGACCCTGTTGCAGTTGAACTAGGGTTGCAAATTGGCTTGTTTTTCCAACATTGCGTTGAGGTATCACTGTGGCAGTCATTCTTCTCAAATATCTTTGTATAAATGTTCACTATTTAAAAACAAAGAAGACCTCAGATATATGCTTTAAAAAATAATGTGAAACGACTTTAATCATCTTTAAAAGGTAAATGAGTTAATGGAGGTCCTCGGCTTGTGCTAAGGAAGAACAATTCATTGGTCCATGTCCAGAGAATGGCCAATGAACCAGCGGACTCCATGACTCATGTTAGTAATAAGCAGGATACCCTTTGTGTAGGCCTTGAGCCATTTCCAAATTAGGTGACATTGTAGGTTTTTTAGCTTTTTGTGGTTCTGAGTGTTTCTTGTCTTCTCAACCGTATAAACATCTCCACTTATTTGCTTCTATGGAGCTATTAGATGTATTTTGCTTCTTGTCTTTGTGACTTATGACGGTAAAAAGAAAAAAAAAGGTCCCAAATATAGGGGTGGGACTTGGGTCGGGTTGTTGCGTCCAAACCGATCGGGTCCTAGTCTGGACCCAGTCAATAAACTGGACGGGTTGGGTCTGAGTCCACCTGACCTTGACCGGATCCGGTCGGGTCCGGCTTGAAACCTATTGTCAGGTTGTGTTTGGGTCGAGGCCAGCCCAACCCGACCCAAGGATATTAGTATAAATTAGATATAGATAATAATATGTATATAGTATAAAATATATTAAATAATTTTTTATGTAGTTTTTAGTTAAAGACATGGACTCAATCTGACCTAGTGAATCAGGACTGGGTCCAATTGCCTTGGACCAAACCGGGTCTGGGTTGACCCCTACCAAATAACATAATGTCTACGTTGGATTTTCCAAAAAAAATAAAAATAAAATTCTAAGTTGTAATCATCTAGAAAAACTAATGGCTTTCTCTTGATTAATGTTATTGGATTGTATGGAGTAACGATGGTGGTGTCGGTCCAATGTGCAGTACTCATTTCAAAGAATTGACTATTCAATGTGCTATTTTTTCTCTTCCCCAAACTTTCGTTGGCAGAATACTTTGTAGTGAACTATGTTTAAAATAATTGATGTTCATAATCTTTGCACAGTTCTAGGTTATTTAGAGTCTTTAACGATTTCTCTTCATCTTTTCTTTTGCAAATAATATGATATTCCATTCTTGTGCGCCCATTCTTGAAAATAACATATCTTTGTATTGGTCCTTGAAAATAGCATTGACGGTTTTCATTTGGGTGCTTTGTTTTCTAGCTCATAATAGCATGCAGAAAAGGTGGAACCAGCATTGAAGATCTTGCAGAGAAGTTTCCTGACATGATTATAAAGGTTTTACCCTACTGCTATTACTGCCCTGGTGTAAATGATGGATGTCCCTTTATTTTTTTGATATTTTCTACCAAGTGCAAGTGCTTCTTAGAGATGCATGCAGTGTATATAAACAGCGACAAAGAGACCTCTCCCAGATTTGTATAATCTTTGTATGTTCTCGTGTTCTTCAACTACTACTCATGTATTAACTTTCTATACAATTTTGAATTGATTGGGTTTTTATTAATTAGTCAAATTCATACTTATATCATGTCGATAAATAGATATACCTGGAATATTGCATGAGCCTATTTAGAGTCAATTATATGACCTATCCGGTTCTATCACATACTTGTTTCCTTGGTCCATTGTATTGATAATGATGCTTTTAACTAGAAACAAGTATTTCACTATATCTACTCTGTTATTTATATCTACAGTCTATTTTGTCAATGTTCATGGTGTTTAGGTGCTATATGCATCACTAGGTTCGCCAGATGTATACATCGGCATCCAAGATGACATGATAACAAGAGTAGATAGTAGACATAAATTCTCAGAAAAATATGCAGACTAATACTATGCTTTGAAATTGGAAAAGCCAAAAAATAATGAATTCATTAACAAAACACAAAAAAACGAAAATAAAATCATACCATTATGAATAATTGTGTTAAGACTTTTGTGTTGCATATTTGTTGAACATATATACAGGGATTATTATTAATATTTTTTTCTTGGGGTAGATCAAATACAAGGATAATTGCCACATGAAGAAGTTCATTAATCAGTATTGAAAATTTGGCTTATTATGGTTTGAACTTTTAATTTCCATTTGACATTTTTTTCCTTTTCATTTCAATTTTTTGTTAGTTATCTAAGTAAAAATAGTAGTTAGAATGTCTCATAGTTCCATGGCTGCATTAAAAATATTCAAGGGTGCATCTTGGCACTTACCTGACATGTTCAACGAGTTCTGAAGGAGTGTTGATGTCCCTGGCAACATGTGGCTATCTGTGTTGAACACGAAATATTTGTAAAACGGTCTTTTAGCATCACAGGAAAAACAACACTAACGATTGTATGTGTACAATGTTCTTGCATGGGTAGCGCCACTGGCAACGTGGACTGTCCCTATGCCTACTTCTCTATTCTATTCACTCTGTTTGCTATCCCTGAATTTTGTGATTTTGATGAATATAGTTCAAATTGCATGGGTGATGTCTTGTTCAAGGGTCTTGCTACCTACTTGCTTTATTGGACACATCAATTATGACAAAGAACATATTATTACTTGGCATTCGTTGAATCTGTAGTGAACCCAAAGGAAACTTTGCAAAAGATTATGAAATTTGGGCGGCCTGGTTTTTTCTTTTGCTACTTGTTATGTATCAGTTTTCCTGGCCCATTCTACATATGTGTGTGAATTTAGTTTGTGATGTTTTTATTTTTGACGTTTTAGGTTCCTATTGATGTTTTCAAAGGAATAACAGATGAAGATGCTGCTAAAGTAGTGGATGGCTTAGTCCCAAAGCACGTCGATAGAAATGATTGCATAGAACAAGTGAAGAAGTTGTACAAATTATTCTGTGAATGTGACTGCACACTACTAGAGGTGACTAGCTCAAATATATTATATATCTGAGCATTTCAACAGGATTGTTTGCAATAAACCTACTAAATCAAATGCTTCTTCTGTGTTCGATCATCTCATTCAAATTAGATGTTCTAATTCTGATCTCAATTAGGTTCAGATTTGTATTCAAAAAGCTTGTTTAAGATGTTACATGAAGTTGATTAATCTAACTCATATTAAATTGTGGTCAGATCAATCCAATTGCAGAAACCTCTGATAACCAACCGGTAGCTGCTGATGCAAAGTTGAACTTCGATGATAATGCTGCTTATCGCCAGAAAGACATATTTACTCTCCGTGATTCTTCACAAGAGGACCCAAGGGAGGTGTGGTTCCAAATTCAGTACTCTGCAAGGGTTGAGGGCTTAATGTCCAAACCATTTATGGGTTTGTGATGATGGAGTAATAAACAAAAGTTCCCTACTTTTTTTAATGGGCCAAAAAGTGATTCTCATAATAAATTTTCCCAAATCTTATTAGACCTTTACTTTCTGAATTTTTCTGGTATACCATTGTGTACATTGAGATTCTAACATTTTGTGCAGTAGGATTCTCTGGAATCATGTCATTGCATTTAGTTCCATATCTTCCCATCTAATGTTTTTCTTTCGTACAGGTTGCTGCTGCCAAAGCAGATTTGAACTACATTGGCTTGGATGGAGAAATTGGGTGTATGGTTAATGGTGCTGGATTGGCAATGGCTACTATGGACATCATTAAGTTGCATGGTGGAACACCTGCCAATTTTCTTGATGTTGGAGGAAATGCCTCAGAGGACCAGGTGGAGTACATGTCTGCCAAATTAATTTGACAAATTATCATGTAAAACTTGTTTTTTAACTGAGGAATGTGGTGTGAGAGGTGAAGAAAATTATTTTCATTTGGTACAAATGAATAACATGCTTTCCAGTTAGGGAAGTGCTTTGGATTTTGGAATTTAGAGGTCTGGTGAATTTTCTTATTTCCCAATGAACTTAGAAGTAAAGCAAGAGGGCATGCTGCTGTTTCAATGGAAGTTGATGATACAGGGGATCCTCTCCTTTTTATGCCCCTGTCGCAAAGAAAAATAAAAAAGAAAACAATGAGCTTAACCTAGGGATTGTTTCTTTTGCAGGTCGTAGAAGCTTTTAAAATCTTAACTTCAGATGAGAAGGTGAAGGCCATACTGGTTAACATTTTTGGAGGAATCATGAAGTGTGATGTACTAGCAAGTGGAATTGTTAATGCTGCCAAGCAGGTATTAACGTGTAAAGATGTTTTGCTTTAGCCACTGCATCTTTTCTCTATAGATGGCTTTTATCATATTATAGTTGTTACTTAACTGTTTATCTTTTTTTGCTTAATGAAGTAGTTTTGTCAGGTAACAATTATCTAAAATGAATATTCCTTGGGAGTTTTCCATTGTTCAGCATCATAATGTCTGAAAGTGTAAAGCGGATTTGTTTTTTTTTTAAACTGTTGACATTGTATTGAGAGTAAGAGGGAGTACAATATACAAAAACAAACACACACAGGTGTTGTGCTGACTACAAAAAGGAAGATAAAGAGTTACAACCACTACTATTACAATACATTAAGAAGGGAACTAGGTGAAGCAGGCTACTTGTTGAAATAAGATAAAAAATTGTGGGGTTTAGAAAAGAAAATCTAGAATAACTGGAAGTTACACCAACTCCAATCTGAAAATATGTTTCCATGACTAAAGGGAATGGGACATAGTATAACTCTCTCTCTCTCTCTCTCTCTCTCTCTCTCTCTCTCTCTCGT